AAATTTATCCCACAAACACTAAGCGATTGGCCTTGAGACTTGTTATTGCAAACGCAAGGCGAACTGGAAATTGCAATCGTTTGAAGTCAAACGGAAGACCAATCGGAATCATTGGTATGTCACCAAATCGCCATCATTTGATTGAATGATGAAATTCAGTGCGTGTACATCATTATTCTTTGCGGCAAGAATTGCTCGTTGACTTAACCAAGCATAATTCTTATAATTCTCACTAATGTCATTACTCGAATTTTTAATTACGGTGCGTATCGGGCACGATGCAAATTTTTGGCTATAAACCTTGCGGAGCGTGAGACCTTTCCAACGAATGCAAAATTGTCGAAATTGGTTCGTGTGTTCTGGAGTTATTTCGTCAGGAAGAAAAACCCGACTTATTTTTATATATATAGAAGATTGCATAACATACACAACGAAATCAAGTTTACGGCCGGTACAGTAGATTGTATTGAAATCGGTGCCGTCCCGTAAGTGTTAACCCTATTTGTCTATTTGTGATGTTTTTAAGTCAGTATTTTCTTTATTCAATTTAAATTAGTGGTAAGTGGCTCTCATTGACATATCTTCGGCCCGATGCAAAATGAGTCTGCTCATTTCTATTAAGTTTAATGATTGCAATTAAATTTGAAACTTCTCCCCCGGTGACATTTATCATGACAAAGTTGTCGAAAGATGCTTTGTCGTTTTATTGTCCCTAATAAAGACAAAGGCGGCAGCGTTAAGAAATTGTCACACACATAAATATACACACATACGCACATATAGGGGAGATCAGAGCGACTGGTTAGACTTTAAGACACACTCATAATTGCATTAGTTGATAAAAAATAATAAGTTTTTTTTAATATGAAGACTTTTAATAGAAGACAGGTCATGAACTGGCCTAATATTAGAGATTGATTGAAATTTAGATAATTTTGCATTCAGGATTTTAGAAATCCAAAAATCTGATCTGATATTTAATAATTTTCTATCTAATCACATATCTAATAATTAAGAATTTTTTATTTATTTATTTTTTTTATTTATTCATAAGCAAGCCGTAATCAATAATGATAGATATTATTTCAGGCTCTTGTCAAGCTTATTCATAATTAATATTAAAAGGATAGTAATTTTATAATAATCATAGTAGCTGCACGAATTTCGCCTTTCTAATTGATTGACATTTAGAAATTTTTAATGTTTATATTTAAATTTAACTATTCAAACATTTAAGTACTCAGAAATTTAAAATTTTAAATTATTCAAACTATGTTTATATGTATTTAAAAATTCAAAAATTTATATTCTTACAAGCCAAAAATTTTAGATTTTTTCATACTTCAATATGTTTGAAGAATGTATGACAACCAGAAAATTTAGATTTGTATATGCATTTAAATATTTAAATAAACAACATTGTAGATATTTAGATATTTTAATTTAGAAAAGTTGATATTTTGAAATCCATGTACATCTTGTATTTTGTAAAATTTAGATCAAATATATAAAAATGTAGATAATTAATTAGATATTTTAATTTTGAATAGTCGATATTTTAAAAGCCATGTATATTCTTCTTGTAAAATTTAGATATTTAAATATACTAAAATGTAGATACATAGATATTTTAATTTTAGAATAGACGATAAATTAAAATGCACGTGTATTTATATTGTAAAATTCAGATATTTAAATGTACAAATATGTAGATATGTATTTTTTTTGCATATACTAAAAACGTAGATGTTTTTACGTAGATATTAAACATTCAAACATTTGAAATTTTAGAAATTGATTTGCATTGATCTTGCAAAGAAAAAAAGAGATATTTATACTATTAGTTAGACATCTACAAATTGAAATTGATGCTTAAAAAATTAACTATATTTAGACGTTGTGTTGCAAAATTTAAATAAATTCACATTTATATATTTATATACCTAAAATTCTAACATCACTAAAATTTAAAAATTTAGATCAAATTGAAAATTTATATGGATAATAATAAATCAATTAAAATTTTATATAGGTAATAATAATTTCATATATAAAAATCCAAAATTTTCGTCACTTAACTTAAATATTTCAATATTCGAGAACAAATCCATGATTGCATTTAGATTAAATTTAAATACAATCACATTTAGATATTTAATAATTTATATTAAAAACTCAGGAACATATCAATGTTTGTGGATTTAGTTACTTAAAAAATTCACATTAAAAATCTAAAATATTTTCAATTAAATTTAGAATTTTTCAAATTATATATTCAAAGTTTTATATGTTTTTATTTATAAATTATTATATCAAAAAGTTTAGTTAATATAAGTAATTATATAAAAATATAGTTACATGAAAAATAAGTAAATTAGGGTAACAATATACTAAACTCATATCTATATATAGATATTTAGAAGTCGTTTAAATTACTAAGAGGTGATATAGATTTTAAAATTGTTGGTGGTCTCCACTATATATATGTATATATACAAATATACACATATACACATACATATATATATACATGTATATGTATAGCAATTAATGAACACGTTTAGTCGCCCTTTCACTAATGAATTACAAACAAACTTCCCCTATTACACATTATACACACTTCATACAAACGCCACAACATATACATACATATATACATGTATATATATATATATATATATATATACATTGTATATATATATATATATATACATTTATATACTGGTATCCTCGTCTATCTTTATACGCATTGTTGGTTGCAACTAAAATTCCTCAGTTTCAAACTTGACGTCTAAGTTATATTAATGTCTTAATATAATATTAAAGCATGTATGGTATATATAGATAAATGGGTGAATATATATATATATATATATATATATATATATATATATATATATATATATTATAATGTAGCAGATGCCCGCAGATGGGTGGTTCATATTATATTATATTACATATTCATCCAATCATGCTTTAATGATACGTTTGGCATTTCATACTTATTTATTTAAATTGAACGTGAATAAATTATTTCATATTATATATATATATATATATATATATATATATAAATGTATATGGGTCGAGGATAGTCTATGACAAAACAAACTTCATTAAACAAAGAACTCTACTGACGAGCAACCTTATTTTTTTAGTACAAGATAAGACTTAAAAGACTACTCCAGGAATATAAGATGAACAAAAGGACTCTACTGACAAGCAACCTGATTTTCCTAGAACAAAGGAAGCATGAAAAAATTCTACTGACGAGGAACATGATTTTCTAGGAACATGAAAAGAAAAAAAGGACTCTACTGACGAGCAAGTTGATTCTCTAGAAACTTTTAGGAAGAATAAAAGAACTCTACTAACGAGCAACCTGATTTTCTTGGTACAAGAGAAAAATGAAAAAACTTTGCTGACGAACAACATGATTTTCTAGGAACATAATAAGAATAAAAAGACTCTACTGACGAGCAACCTAATTCTCTAGGAACATGAAAAGAAAAAAAAGACTCTACTGACGAGCAATCTGATTCTCCAGGTACATGAGAAAAATGAAAAAACTCTACTTACAATAAAATTAAAAAAAAACTAATAACGATCAAAGCAAGTCTTATAAATAAATGCTCCAAAAATAAATTTATACTAAAAATAAAAACATTTTTTTTTAAATAAAAATAATAGACCTCTACTGACCAAGTTCAGATTTTCTAAAGAAACTGATAAAAATAATAAGACATATGATATTTGTAAAAATTTCAAGTTATAATTATAGTTGTTATAGCTTTCTTATAATTTTCATTTGGACGAACCTAAACTAGTATTTTCAAATCAAAAATAGTTTTTTCTTAAATATGATATAATAGGATACTACTGACAAGCAAACCAATTTCTGATTTAATATATTAGTTTTGAAATTTTTGTGTTGAATCTTATTTGATGTTAATTTTATAATTTTATTTCGTATGAAACTAAACTAGTATTTCCAAATTAAAACTACAATTTTTTTTTTTTAAATATGATATAATGACAAGCAAACCATGTTCTAATTTGCGAAGGAAACTAATAAAAATAATATATTTTTGTAATTTTTAAGTTATTATCTAATTTGTTGTTAATGTTCTGATGCATATTTGTAATTTAATTCCAACATTTGTAATTTATATACAATGTGTATAAAAAATAAAAAATAAATAATAAAAAGTTTCCAAATACAAAATTCAATTAAAATACCATACGTTCGAATTTGATTCATTTTTAGTGCAATACACACAAATATTTTAAATAAAACTCTAAAACAAATAACAAAACAATCGCTGAATATAATGCATATAGTTATAAAAACAACTAGTATGAAAAAAAGACTTTAAAAACAGAAAATTTATTAAAAATCAGTTAGAACAAAAAAAGTGCAAGGAAAAAAAGCAAACATAAATTGAATGATATATATGTCATTTTATATTGTTTATTTTTTAGTACTGCACTAAAGATGATTCGAATCAGGACTCGAAACGTATTTTACTTTTAATAAAGTGACTTCTACATTACCTAACTTTGGATTTTATATGTAAAAAATGGGTTAAATTATTTTTATAAATGGGTTAAATTATTTATTATAGTCCATGCTAATTTTTCTGAAGATTACGTAAGATTGTATGTCAAATGTTAGAGTTTCTTAAAAAGTCTTTGATTATTTAAATTATATATATATATATATATATATATATATATATATATATATATATTAAATAATGTCGTCAATTTAAATTGATCTAAATATTCCGAACGGAATTTTAAAATAAAGACATTAAATTTTCGATGGTCCATAAATTGAGTTGTATCAATACTATACAGTTATACATTTAAATATATATATATATATATATATATATATATATGTATATATATATATATATATGTATATATGTATATATTTATATATTCGTATTATAAATGTATCAGAATGCTAAATAAGTTTAATCTAAAGCACTTACCAATATACAGAAGAAGTGTTGAAACTGGTTACCGAGGTATTTTAATAACTCCGGAGGAATCATTTGTGGCCAAGGCGAAATCTGAAATGAACAAATTAATAAAAAAATTATAAACCACTAGTTTTAGTTGATGTCCATTAAAGAGACAAATTGAAATAAACAAATTAAAACATTAAACAAATATATAATAATTAAATTTAATTAATATAGAACTATTGGGTAAATTTTGAGAATAAATTGATAAATAAACAAAATTGAAATAATGGTTAATGATTAGAAATCTATAATAATAATGAATAGATGTGAAGTAATGTAATTAACAAAATAAATAAATTGGGTTTTTTGTTATAATTGCTTAAAGAATAATTCTTCGTCTTGTATTATTGTCAGTCTTTTTGGACCTTATACAGAAAGTACTTTTCTAGAAACAAGTTTCCTTTCTTTTCCACAAGAATATACAATAGTCTCTTTTTCCCAACAATTTGTCCAATACTCTTTTCTCATTTGCACCTTGTCAATCAATTTTATTTTCTTCTACAAATCAATTAAAACCTCTTGAAGTAATATTTGTCGGCCGACCTTGGAGCCCATGTCTCTGATCCTTAGAGAGCCTTAGACCAAATATATCTAATGTACAAGTTTCTTCGGAAAATCCTGACTCGTTTTGGTTGTAAGTAGAGTACCATGTTTACCACTCAAGTTGCTGTTTAATTTGCTAAAAACATCTATGTAATTTCTGAGATTTTGGTTTGCTGGTAAGTAGAGTCATAGTAATTTTATATTCTAGTTCCCTATTTAGTTTGCTCGTAAGTATACTTCATCATCTTTTAGATTGCTATTTAGTCAGTAGAGTCCACATTTTCCTAGATTCAGTTCGCTCATCAATAAAGTCCTATTTTTATATTCGAGTTGACTATTCAATTTGCTCATCAGCATAGTCCATCAACTTATCTTCTAGATTGATTGCTATTTAGTTAGTAAAGTTTTGTCACATTTTTCTTGATTCAGTTAGTAGAGCCTTATTTTCATTTTTAAGGTCGATGAAATCCTCTTTTTCCTCTAAAAATTGAGTTTGCATGTCAGTAGAGTCCTATTTTCATTTTTTAGATCCAGGGAATTTTTTCTTTCTTCTCGAGAGTCAGTTTGGTAGTCCGTAGAGTCTCATTTTTAACTTCTAAATCAAAATTCACAATGTTTGTTAGTAAAGTCATCTAATTCTTCTTAAGATTTAGTTTGCTCGTCAGTAGAGCCGAAACTTCATCTTCGAGATCTGTATTTAATTTGCTCGTCAGTAGAGTCCTTTTTATCTTTTGATTTGCCAATTGATTGGCTCGTTTGTAAAATCATGCTTTTGGTTCCATGTCTTCTATGTCATTCTATGCTCGTCCTTTTTTTTAAATTTAAAGTTCTCGTCAGTAGAGTCCTTTTCATATTCTAGTTGTCCATTTAATTTGTTGGTCAGTGAAATCCTCTGTTATTTTCAACAGTTAATGCTTGGCAGTAGAATCCTATTCATTTTATAAGTCGGTCCAAAATTTGTCGTCTTGATGGTAAAATCTTCTTTTTAGTCAGTTGATTCTCGTCAGTAGAGCCCTTTTAATTTTTATTAAATTTAATTTGCTCGCCAGAAGAATTGTTCTCTTTAATAGTGTCTTTGGTTGCCAGTAGAGTCCTTTTCATTGCCAAGGTCGACATTTAATTTGCTCGTAAGTAGAGTTATTTTCTTTAGCAGTATCGTTGGTCGTCAGTAGATTCCTTTTTATCTCCTAGATTAAAATTTAATTTGCTGGTCAGTAGAGTTATTTTCTTTGGCAGTATCCTTGGTCGTCAGTAGTCATTTTTATCTTCTAGATCGAAATTTAATTAACTCGTCAGTAGAGTTATTTTCTTTAGCAGTATCATTGGTCTTCAGTAAAGTCCTTTTATCTTCTAGATCGAGATTTAATTAACTCGTCAGTAGAGTTATTTTCTTTGGCAGTATCCTTGGTTGTCAGTAGAGTTCTTTCCATTTCCCAGGTCAACATTTAATTTGCTCGTTGGTACAGTTATTTTGTTCAGCAGTATCCTTGATCTTTGGGCGTCAGTAGAGTCCTTTTTATTTTCTACCTTTTGCAGTATCTTTGGTTTTTGGTTAAGATGCATCTTAATGCATAATTCACAACAAAGAAAATTTCAAATAAATGTTGAAATCCAGAATATATATTTTTTTCAAATGTTGTCTATTGACAGTTGACAACTTTTGGAGATTACTTTGACCATTACAAATTGTAACAATACAACCACAAAATCCAATTAAACAAAATTAAAACCACAAAATAATCAACAATTAATCAAACAAAATTAAAACCACAGTATACAAAGCCCTTAATCCAAACGTCTACCGCCACTGTTGTTCATAATATATGCATGCGACAATTTTCCGATAAAAGTCGAAAAGTCATAAAATAATATAAATTTCAAACTAGTTTCTTCCATCTTTGCCTTTCGGAGAGATAAAAATATATAAAACAGGAAATCTTTTTTCAGAAGAAGCAAAATGGACATCTCTTCGAAGAGACTGATGATGATGATGACATTATTTAAGAGACAAGGTTAAGATCATTTATACATTAATACATTGATATATACATTTATATATATGTATGTATATAATATATATATATATATTTCTATTTCCTAGGTTGATTGAACTCTAAATTGCTCATTTATGTATTTGTTACATATTTTATGTATTTGTAACATAATAAATTTCGTAAAAAAATATTTATGCTAATTGATGTTTTATAATGGCTATTAGTATCATGGTCGTATCCGCGAATAAATTTCAATTTAAATAAAAACAAATGTGTGTTATTAGTTTTTATATAGTTTATATATACTTTAGAAATATTTCCTATACATTTTTATGATATGACATACATATTTTACTTATTTTCATATTATTATAATAAATTTATTCAATATTAGTGTAATTAATTTGTATTTTGTTAACCATCACTGTTGCTTTTTGTGAATTCCATTTAATTTTTTTGTCAAATTTATGTCTGTTAATGTAATTTTTCGACTATAATTTGTCGTTAATAATATCTTAATTAATAATATCTTAGCATCCTTGTATTCTTCATTTTATTCATTTTTTTCCAAATTTCTGAATATCAAAATAGTTCTACATTTAATAATATTTCTTCATAATGTATGTTTATATTATTTAAGATATTTTTATTAAATTAATAATAACAAAGAATAGTTATTATTAATGTAATGAATTTTATTGTTTTGTACAAATATTATTAAAAAAATATATGTTTATTTTTTTACATAACTTACATTTTGTTTATAATATTTCTAATATTCATTCTAATTTTATAATAACAAATATAAAAATTTTGAATATAACAGATTTAGTATTTGTTAAGTGATATTAGAATTTGTATATATTATAAATTTAATCTATTTAATTTTTCAGTTTTCTAACTTGACAAAAATATTTGATTTTATTACTTTTTTTATAAAATTTTTGTGTGTATTTAATTTTTTTTACTATAATTAGTGTTTATAATATTTGGCAACCTTGAATTTTCATTTTATTTGTATTTTTTTGTTCAAATTCCTGAATTTCCAAATAGTTTGGCATTTATTATTAATTTAATTTTAAAATATAATAATTAGCCCTATCATTTGTTTAAATTATTTTTTTTATTTATCACTTAACGTTAATAGTCACATTAATCATAAGTATATTTGTTCTTTTTGAATTTTCCATTTTCCAAAAACTTTCATTTTTTGCCAAAAATGTTCTAATGCAATATTTTGTTTAGACTAAAATTGTGATTTATAACATCTTTTAGGACCTTGTTATATAAGCAATAAATAAATTTATCTCGAGTTACCAAAAATTGACATCTGTCATTTCACAGTTGTTTTCTTAAAATTCAGAACTGTCAAAAATATTAGAAATTTCTAAAATTTTATTATTTCGAGAGATTTCTAAGATTTTTAATACTGCCTATAATCTAAGTTAGATATGAATGAACACAGTGAGCCAATAAAATTTAAAATCGGTTTAGTAGTTTAGGACTACATTCCGGTCAAACATCGTGACACGTACGGTGGTTGACCTCTGGGTTGCCATCTCGATAAAATTTCTAAGTTAAAAGTACTACAACAGACACAGAATATAAAAAAACGTATTTCAAAACTTATTTAATTTTTTTCTTGTATATATCTCTAAAATTTATGTCAAAATTAAGTGATTTTACTAAAATAACCTAAGTTGGATATAAATAAACAAGTTGGGCTAATAGAATTTAAAATCGGTTCAGTAGTTTAGGAGTACATTCCGGTCGAACATCGTGACACTTACTTCATATGTATATATGTAAGTAAAATGGGTAATACTACCCTGAGGGAGGTCCATGAGAAAAATTAAGGTCCACTTGATATAAGAAAATCTATATAACTAGTGTGACAGATTTTCTATTGCCATATTAAATCGCAGTACCCAAAAGTGGAAAATGTTTAATTGGAAACATATTTGAGATCTAATTTTTTAATCATAAATATAAAAATGGAGCTCTCGAAAAAATGATCCGCTAAAATTCGAAAACGGCTAAACCGATTTGGCCAGTCTTAGTCTTGAAAAATTCGTGCTAATCAGTAGGTTGTCGGAAGGTGAGATATTATTCCAAAATCGCTTAGAAACTTTACATTTTTAATTTGAAAATTTTTGTAGAAGCGTATTTGAATAAAACAATGGACGGTGGCTA